CCCGAGACCTAGGCAATCGGCGAGGACAGCGCGGCTATATTAGTAATAGTATTGCGGAGTATATTGCTATTAAGAAAGGACGGACATAGCTATATTAGTAACGGTGTTCCCGAGTTGTTATTAGTTAAAGAAGGAAGTTAGAAGAAGGTAAAGATGGCGCTAAGACGGCTATCGCCGCTATTATTAATATTACTTACTATTACCGCTACGCCGTAGGCATAACCTTACCTATACTGCGAAGCCTAAGGCACTGCACTAGCTAAGTTAAAAGATTAAGCCTATTAAAGGTTTAATTAAAACTTTGAGGCCGAGTTAAAACTTTAACTAAGTCAAAAGATTAAGCAACTAATAGACTAACTAAGGGCAAAAACTATAGAGCTAAGCTAGCCGGGGTCGATCTTGCGGATAATAGGTTACTCCTCGATCTTTCCGACCCTTTAAGCGAGGCGAACCTTAACTACTGCACTTACAATAGCCTTTACCTATAGAAACTAGACGAGCTGTGTTTTTTCTGAAATGTAAATAATAGCCCTCGTAACAACAAGAACAAACCCTCGGAAGCAGACAACCCTCGGAAGCGGACATTGCTAGGTCTTTTAAGAGTAGACGCAAAGAACTCGGTACGACATTACGTAGAGCGGAGGCAGGGCTACAATACCTCGTATGTCTACCTATTATAGTAGGGAAGACGCGCTCGTATTATAATTAGTCGAAGGCCCTTAATTCTTATAGATATATATTACTTTATAGTTTATTATATATAGGGATAGCGCAGTTAGAGTTAGACATTGTATTAGAAGGTAAGGTTTAACATAGTTACATAATTAGGTAGTTAAGTGTTTAATTTAGCGCGGACTAAGCGGCTTATTAGACCTACTAAGTCGGTAGTAATAGGGGTTGAGACTAGAACAAAGACCGGCTACGAGGGCGCAGCCTTTAGAAGGGAAGCGTATGTTAGGGCTAAAGAGGCTACACGTAATTAGTATATAACTAGGCCGAGTAAAGCTAGGGTCTTAATGCCTTAGGCAGGGCTTAGCGCTTAGCGTTAGGCTAACTCTCCTACCTTCCTCCCTCTCCTCCTAGATCTCTATCGAATACTAAACTAATTCACTACTACCCTATCTACCTGCTAATATAACCCTTCTTACAAGATAGGCCGTCTACCTCGCCGGGTTTAATTTTAATATATTATATCGGCTAGGTATAAGTAACCCTACCGATAGCCTATCGAGGCGACCTAATTACGATAGCGAAACCTAACATATTAATTCTTTATTTCTAACCCTATAGTATAAGATTGCTATAGCCCGTATTGTTAATAAGTAAGCGTAGGATAAGCGGACTTCCGGACCCCGCGGCGGCAATAAATACTATAGCGGAGTTATCGTTCTTCTAGTATACGTTAAGAAGGACGTAGATCGCTCGAGCTATAATAACTCGATTAAGGATATTGCTATCTATAGTAATAGTCTATACAGCGACAGCACTATAGAAGAGGTTATAGTAGTTCCGGCTGCTAGTGCTATTAGATATATATAATACGTACCTCGTTTAATAGCGAGGGTGCTATTAAATAACCTTATAAATAGGGATAGTTAATCGTTTATAGATAAGCTGTTACGTACTTAGTAGAGGGACGCCTTTGCTGTCGAGCGTATTAATAGGCTTGTAAGTAGACGGGCGACTCGATCTAGTAAGAGTAATAGTTAGTCGATCGACGACAAAGGTTACTTAAAGTTTAAGGGCAGATACTATGTCCCCGCTAAACAATCGATTAGATAAGAGCTTTTAAAGAGGCACTATAATAGTGAGCTCGCTAGTTACTATAGTATAGAGAGGTCGCACGAGCTACTATCGCGTATATACTACTAGCTAAATAGTAAGCGGTATATAAAGGAGTATATATAGACCTATATAGTATGCTAGCGAGTTAAAGCACTAAAGCACTTACTATTTAGCGAGTTGTCTTCACTCCCTATTCTAAGGAAGCCTTTTATAGAGCTTATAATAGACTTTATTATAGGTCTTCCCCCTACTAAGCGAAGAGGAAGCAAAGACGTCTTTAACGCTATACTAGTTATTATAGACCGATTTACTAAGGGTGCTCGCTATATTCCTACTCGGAAGGATTAGACGGCTATTAATATAGCTAAAGCACTATAGAATAACATCTTCTGCAGCTATTAGGGGACCCCTAAGGGGATAGTCTCCGATAGGGGCTCGACATTTATATCGCACTATTAGAGCGAATTATGCCTATAGCTAAGACTAAAGCATCGGCTATTAATAGCCTTCTATCTATAGACTGACGGTTAAATAGAGAGGCAGAATGCTACGCTATAGCAGTACCTACGCAGCTATATTAATAAGGACCCTAATAGATAGGTTAACCTCTTATAACTAGCTAAATTCGTATACAATAACAGTGTCTACTTATTAACTAAGGTTTTACTATATATAGCTATAATGGGTTAGAACGCTGCTATGCTATAAGACCCCCTATCGCTCGAGGCCGAGCGTAAGGAAAGGGAAGCGCGTTAAGTACCCGAAACACTAGCGGCTATTAAGAGGGTTTAGAAGATGCGAGAAATCTATACTAAGATAGCCGAGAAGTTAACAAAGGCTTAAGAGTACTAAAAGACCTACTACGATAAGCACTACGCGCTAATAACCTTTAAACAAGGCGATATAGTTATACTAAGCACTAAGAACCTCCGCATCCGCAAGCACCTATTACCTAACGGCAAAACAAGGCCTAAGCTCGTACTAAGATACATTAGTCTATTCTGTATTCGAGAAGTTAAGGGCTCCTCCGTATAGGCCTATTAGTTATAGCTTCTACCTTATTATACTATCTATAACACCTTCTATGTATCCCTCCTTAAGCCGTACTACCTACGCGAAGGGGATGAAGCCCCTACTAAACACGAAGACATACTAGCGGATAGTAAAGAGCTATAGTCTATAGAACGTATTCTAAAGCACTAGACTAGGTAAGGCAAGAAGGAGTACCTATTAAGATAGCAAGGCTATTTACCTAAATAGGACTTATAGGAAGCTAAAGGTTCCTTTAAGGATATAACTAAGTTGTTAGATAAGTATTAGACTAGTATAAAGAATAAGAAGAAGGCTAAGGGCCTATAATGTCGCCTAGGAATAATACTATCCCTAGGGTGCTATTAGCTAACTAATTAGAGATAAGCAATTGTTAGTAACGAAGGATAATAAGACTACACTAGGCGCGCTACAACGCGTTAACTAATTGCCTGCTCTTTTAAGGACTCTACCTCTTTACTAATGCGCCCTATAAGGCCCTTCTTCTAGTATTTAGGTCCCCCTCTTAATCCTTTATTCTATTAAGGTCTCGAGGCCTAAGCGATCGGCGAGGACGGCGTCGCGCTTGTAACGGCGCGGCTATGTTAGTAACGGTGTTGCCGAGTTGTTGTTAGTTAAAGAAGGAAATTAGAAGAAGGTAAAGTTAGCGCTAAGACGACTAGCGCCGCTATTATTAAACATTACCTACTATTACTACTACACTTATAAAGACAACCTTACCTATACTACGAGCCTAAGGCACCTTTAATTAAAACTTTGATTAAAACTTTAAGGCTAAGTTAAAACTTTAAGCCGCCTAAAAGATTAAGCGATTAATAGACTAACCGACTAAGGGTAAAACTATAGAGCTAAGCTAGCCGGGGTCGATCTTGCGGACAATAGGTTACTCCTCGATCTATCTAACCCTTTAAGCGAGGCGAACCTCTACTACTGCACTTATAATAGCCTTTATTTATAGAAACTAGACGAGCTATGTTTTTTGAAAAGATAAGATAAGATTGACACTTAAAGGCTGCTAAACCTAGCTAATTAGGGCTAGCGAAACTACGAACAATAAGAACAATAACCCTTAGAAGCGGACAAACCCTCGGAAGCAGACATTGCTAGGTCTTTTAAGAGTAGACGCAAAGAACTCGATACGATATTACTTAGAACGGAGGCAGGGCTATAATACCTCGTACGTCTACCTATTGCAGTAGGGAAGACGCGCTCGTGTTATAATTAGTCGATAGCCCTTAGTTCTTATAGCTTTATATCCCTTTACTTTATTATATATAAGGGTAGCGTAGTTAGAGTTAGACATTATATTAGAAGGTAAGGTTTGATATAGTTACATAATTAGGTAGTTAAGTGTTTAATTTAGCGCGGCTAAGCAGCTTATTAGACTTACTAAGTTAGTAGCAATAGAGGTCGAGATTAGAATATAGATAGGCTACGAGGGCGCGGCCTTTAGAAGGGAAGCGTATATTAGGGCTAAAGAGGCTATATGTAATTAGCATATAACTAGGCTAAGTGAAGCTAGGGTCTCAGTGCCTTAGGCAGGGCTTGGCGCTTAGTAATAGGCTAACTTGCCTACCTTCCTCCCTCTCTTCCTAGCTCCTTATCGAATACTACCTATACCTACTACTACCCTATCTACCTGCTAATATACCCTTCTTATAGGCGTTATAATATGCGGCCTTCTACCCTTTGCCGGAGATATAGAAGCGGTCCTATTCTACTAGGTTATTCGAGCCTAAATAGTTATCCGAGAGCTACGGCTATTATTAAGTAACAACCGTACGATAGCTTTACTTATCTAACCGCTATCTAGTACCTATTAAATAAGGTTATCGTCTTATATAGTGAGTAGAGCTATGGTTGGTAGATTTGGTAGATTTGAGGTATAAAGCTAAGAATTCTAGCTAGGTACTAAAAATACGGGATTTAGATAGGTATACTACGAACAATACTACTATAGGTGCTAGATATATATAGAAAGATACAGAAAGTAAGATAACATATATTGAAAGTGCTTGTGACCTTAATAATAGTGCATTCGATAGTATATAGTGTTGTATGTAATGGTTAGTGTGTGTATACGTAGTCCCGAATCCCCGCTGAAATTCAGTCCGGGCCCTTTTGCAAGGCACCAATATGGGCTGAGCCTGACAGGGGCCACGGTGATGCCCGCCTCGAAAGTCTGCAGCGGGAAGTTGTTTCATGGTGGTGCACGACTAAGGCGGCGGAAGAAGCCTCCTCTGCTTCGACATGTCTTCCAAGGTGCGGCGGACATCGAGCACGGCGGCGGTGACATTCATGCGCGCAGATCCCACGCTTCTGCCAAGGCGGCGGCGATCTCGCAAGACATTGACTGCCATCGCCATCGCCCTTCTCTCCACACTCACCATCGCCTTCTTCCTGCTGCTTGCCTCCCAGCACGGACCTGCTTCTCAAGTTGTGTCCTTTTTCACGAAACCTCAGAAGCTGCAGCCAAACGAAGAGTTCCGTACCGATGTTCACCGTGTTTCCACGCTGAATCCGGAGGACCACGTCAACAGAGAGCCCAGGACACTCACCCAGAAATGGCGCGTCACTTCTGGTCTACGTCGTCCGGATGGGGTGCTCAGACGCGTATACCTGGTCAATGGACACTTTCCTGGACCGACAATAGAAGCGCGTTCCGGAGATGAGATCATCATTGAAGTCGAAAATGCCCTGGAACAAGATGGCATCGCGATTCATTGGCATGGCCTATCGATGAATGGTGCCAATGAAATGGATGGCGTCGTAGGCATAACGCAAGCTCCCATACAACCAAGTCAAAACTTCACCTACAGCTTCATGATCGAAGCGGATCAGCACGGCACATTCTGGTGGCACAGTCATTACGCGCAGCAGCGAGCAGATGGTTTGTACGGGGGATTTGTTGTTCACAATCCCGTTTCTGGGGACGAGGAGCCGGAAATCGCTGATGAGCGACTACTTTTGGTCGGAGATTGTAAGTAAATTGAGGGAGTGTATGTGGTTGTCGGCGAGATTGTCTCTCAACATAAGCTCCAGTATCTCGGATGAAGTGGACTACTGTAGTAGTCCCCCGAAAATATCCGAGTCCTGAGAACATATGGCGAGACATTCTCGCTCATGGATGACATACGCTTCCTTGGGCTTGAAGAGAGATCGATGCTGACTCCCTAAACTTTTCAGGGTACCATCGTCATGCTGCCGCTGCATTGAAAGCATACATGCATCCTGGCGCATTCGGCCTTGAGACAGTCCCGGACTCTATATTGATCAATGGCGCAGGAGCATACAAGTGTGCGGATGCAGTCCCTGTTCGGCCAGTCGACTGTATTGAGGTCCCGGCAGAATCTCAACCATCACTCTATCTCGATACCAAGAAACGGACGATCCTTCGACTTGTAAATGTTGGCGCCTATGCTGGTTTCAGTGTTTCTGCTCCGGGCAGTGTGATGACAGCTCTCACAGTAGATGCGGGTCATCCGATCGTTGGGACCATGTCTAGAACAGTAGGCCCCTTGCAGCCTGGAGAACGACTCGACGTCTTACTTGAGCTCGATCCTGTCGCTGGTCACTATGACACTAGGCTTAATATCACATTGGACGATACTCCGTTCAAGTACGAGAATACCGCATTGACGCTAACGCACACATTTCCACTTCGTTGGAACGGCAGGTTCAGGAAGCGTCAAGTAGGCAGCGATCCAAAGTCCATCGTCGCCGAGCATTTTGACCCTCAAACCGCCACTTCTCTAGAGGATCAGAGCGTTCTTGTGCCGCCTGCCGCGCAGCATACGGTCATTCTATATGCGGTGACACAGAAACTTGCCAGACTCGACAATGAAACGCGCGGATTCATCAACCATACTACATGGCGACCACAGTCTCCGCCTCTCAACGCGCTCGCTCGCAGCAAGTGGGATGCTAATCAATTGGTGCCGCACATCCCATACAATCAGCATTCTCCGGTCTGGGTCGATATTGTTCTGAACAATCTGGATGAGGATTGGCACCCCTTTCATCTGCACGGTTACAACTTCTGGGTCTTGAGTAGCTACACCTCCGACTACAACTGGGGCTCGTATAATCCGTACGATAGCGCAAAGCCCCCCGGCGGTGAGAACGATCTCAAGGGTGCACTTCGGAAAGATACCTTCTACGTGCCTCGTCACGGCTATGCTGTCCTCCGTTTCCAAGCAAACAATCCTGGCCTGTGGGCTTTCCATTGCCACGTATTGTGGCACGAGGCCTCAGGAATGGGAATGACCTTCGACGTGCGCTATTGAGCCGTGATTCATTCAGACTGCCTCGCCGTAATCACATGACATTGTCTTGGCGTCTCCACCCCCGCCACCGCCACGCTATATGCATGCGGGGACGATCAACCACACATCGAACAACGGATCTTTGATAAAAGAAACACAACCGAATCATTCATGCACTCTGCGGCGCGGTTTGAACTCGTCAAAAGTTGTAAAGTTTCGCGGTTCCATTCCGCCGGGAGGCATGAAGATCTGTTTCCAGACGTGCGTGAAGGGAAGCGTTAGCCTGCAACATCCCCGCTCGTCCTTATCACGTGGGAATGCTCCACAGCCAGCCAGATCCAATCCATGCCCACGATTCCGCTCCGGTCCTCCCTCGGTGTGTGGACTACTGGTAACTCGTCTGCGTAAGTGTGCATAGCTCAGGGCGCTTTTTGCGGAGCCCCATGGGCTGCACGTCGCTGTACCTTCCGCCTCCTTCAAAATGTCCAAGAGACTTCGGCGCGAAGGGCCTCGTGCGCTATTCTGGCCCACTGCCCCTCCTCCAGCACAGAAGGCATTGTGGACATTGGAACGGCTGCTGGGAAGTATATGGGCGAGAGGATGCCGTGCAGACCGTAAGACACATTGCTCCTGCTTCCCACCTGCCTGCCACCATTAAGCGGAAACAGCAGTTCCCTCATCCTCTTTCATTTCGTATCAAGACATCATCACTCAAAATGGGTTCTATAGGAGAGCCCAACGTTCCATACACTGACGTCCTGCTCGTTGGAGCTGGATTTGCTTCTTTCACTCTACTCAACCGACTGCGAAAGCTTGGTCTTTCCGTCGAGATCTACGAGAAGGGCGCTGCATCGGGCGGTATCTGGTATTGGGTGAGTCTTGAATGAGCATGGGAGGTGGCATTCGAGCATGATCGCTGACTTGCATGGAAGAATTGCTACCCTGGCGCACGTGTAGACTCAGATACCCCAATTTACCAGCTGTTCGACAAGGAGCTATGGGAAGACTTCACATACACCGAGCGCTATCCAGGATGGCCAGAGCTTCGCCGATACTTCCAGCATGTGGAAAAGAAGTGGAACGTGAGCGCCCACACCACTTACAACAAGATGGTCGATACCGCCACTTTCGACGAGAAGACCAACCTGTGGACGATTGAATGCGCAGACTCCAGCGTAATCAAGGCAAGATGGTTCATCCCTTGCATTGGATTTGCATCAAAGCACTACTCGCCACCGTTCCCAGGTCTTGACAAGTTCAAGGGCGAGATCTATCACACCGCCAAGTGGCCACAACATGGCGTGAATCTCAAGAACAAACGCATTGCTGTCATCGGAACCGGTGCTTCTGGCATTCAGACCATTCAAGAACTCACTCCTCTCGCCAAAGAGATGACTGTGTATCAGCGCACACCAAACATGTGTCTTCCGATGAACCAGCGCAAGCTTGATCCAGAGGAGGAAGAGCGTAAGAAGAAGGATGGTACCTATGAGAAGCTCATCAACGACACTCGCTCCACATTTGCTGGGTTCACATACGATTTCGTGGAGAAGAAGACTTTCGATGATACCCCAGAACAACGCGATGCTTTCTACCACAAGCTACTCGTCGAAGAAGGTGGTTTCAGATTTTGGCTCAACACATACTCCGACATGCTCTTCGACGACAAGGCCAACGACGAAGCCTACAACTACTGGAGGAATTTCGTGCTCTCTCGTGTCAAGAACCCAGAAAAGCAGGAAATCCTCGCGCCAGCTAAGAAGCCGCACCCATGGGGAACCAAACGACCTTCTCTCGAACAGCGCTTCTACGAAGAGGTCGACAAGGATCACGTTGAAATCATCGATGTCAACGCCAACCCTATCGAGGCAGTTGAGCCGGAAGGCCTCCGCACACCAAAGGGTCTCAAGGAAATCGATGTACTTGTCCTTGCCACCGGTTTCGATTCCGTCACTGGATCTCTCGCCCAGTTGAACATCCGGGATACCAAGGACGAGACTATTGCCGACCACTGGAAGAACGGCACCAAGACATCTATGGGTATCGCTATTCCAGGCTTCCCCAACATGTTCTTCCTTTACGGACCACAAGCTCCAACTGCTTTCTCCAATGGTCCTTCATGCACACAGTTCCAGGCTGAGTTTGTTGAAGAGGCTATGAAGAGAATTCAGAAGGATGGTATCACTCGATTTGAGGCTACACAGGCTGCTGAGGATGACTGGTGCAAGAGAATGTAAGTTGCCATTTCGCTTCACATTGTCTTATGAGGAACTTGTGAACTGACAGATATCGCTTCTACAGGAACGAGAAATGGGAAGCTACCCTTTTCCCCATGGCCAAGTCATGGTACAGTGGTGCCAACATTCCAGGCAAGAAGATCGAGCCACTCAATTGGGCAGGCGGTATGGTCGAATACGTCGACAGCTTGCACAAGAGTTTGGAGAACGACTACCAGGGTTGGACGATCCAGAAAGGCGAACCGACAAAGGCATAAGAAACGATGACGAATTTTTTTTTTCCATTCTTAATGTCATGGCGTCAGAATTGTAGATCAGACGACGTTAGATATCATTCCTATCAAGAGCGTTTCATTGTACAGAAATGACAACCTTACCATTCCAGACTCTCCTCCTCCTGCACCCTAAATCAGCTCACCCATTAAGAACAACCCTATCCCCTCAACCTCCAACCTCTGCGCCTTACGAACATAATACCTAGCATTTAGTTGAAAATAAGTGCAGGGCACTGTGAACCTTAGTAGAAGAGATAGAAGTATCTAGTTACGTAAAAAGTCTATCTATAGTCGGCTAAAGTCCTTGCTTATCTAGTAAGAACTATTTGCTCTATAAAAGCCTATCCTATAGCTATAGCTTGTCTTTATATAGGCTGTCTAAAACAACTCTCCTACTACTACCTTATATTAAGTCGAGTAGTATTCTACTTTCGCTATTCCTAGCCCTTATACGTACCTCGCGAAGTCCTCCTTAGATAATAGCTTTATAAAAATGTCCGTAGTATTTTCCTTACTAGTAACTCTACTAGTAGTAATTTTCCCGTCTGCTACTACCTTACGAATATAGTAATAACTAATATTAATATGTTTAGCTCGCTTATAATCCTCTAGATTATATATTAGTCGTAAGGCTATATTGTTATCGATATAGATAGAGACTATATCGATATAGGTATCTAGGAATCCTAGTTCGTTAATAAAGTTTCTTAACTATTCGGCTTCTATAGTAGCGTCGGTAGCGGCGATATACTCAGCTTCTATAGTACTTCTAAAGATCGATCGTTGCTTTCGTAAAGCCTATAAGATTGCGGCTCCTACGAATATAGTAACCTATCTAGTTATAGATTTTCTCTCGATAAGATCGCTAGCCTAGTCTACGTCGACGAAGATATAAAGATTAGGATTTAAACTATTTCGCTTATATAGTAAGCCGAGATCTTTCGTACTTTCGAGGTAATTAATAACCCTTTTGTAAGAAGGGTATGTTAGCAGGTAGATAGGGTGGTAGTAGGTACGAGTAGTATTCGATAAGGATCTAGGAGGAGAGGGAGGAAGGCAGGAGAGTTAGCCTAACGCCAAGCGCCAAGCCCTGCCTAAGGCACTAAGACCCTAGCTTTACTCGGCCTGATTATATGCCAATTACGTGTAGCCTCTTTAGCTCTAATATACGCTTCCCTTCTAAAGGCCGCGCCCTCGTAGCCTGTCTATGTTCTACGACCTCTATTGCCGCTGACTTAGTAAGTCTAATAAGCTGCTTAGCCCGTACTGAATTGAACACTTAACTACCTAATTATATAACTATGTCAAACCTCACCTCTAAACAATATAATGTACAACTCTAACTGCGCTATCTCTATATACAATAAACTATAAAGTAATATGTATCTATAAGAATTAAGGGCCTTCGACTAATTATAATACGAGCGCGTCTTCCCTGCTATAATAGGTAGACGTACGAGGTATTGCAGCCCTGCCTCCGCTCTAAGTAATGTCGTACCGAGTTCTCTACGTCTACTCTAAAAGACCTAGAAATGTCCGCTCCGAGGGTTTGTCTGTTCCGAGGGTTGTTCTTGTTGTTCGTAGTTTCGCTAGCCCTAATTGGCTAGGTTTAGCAGCCTTCAAGTGTCAATCTTATCTTATCTTTTCAAAAAAACACAGCTCGTCTAGTTTCTATAGGTAAAGGCTATTGTAAGTGTAGTAGTAGAGGTTCGCCTCGCTTAAAGGGTTAGATAGATCGAGGAGTAACCTATTGTCCGCAAGATCGACCCCGGCTAGCTTAGCTCTATAGTTTTGCCCTTAGTTAGTCTATTGGTCGCCCAATCTTTTAACTTAGTCAAAGTTTTAACTTAGCCTCAAGGTTTTAATCAAACCTTTAATAGGCTTAAAGCTTTAATTAAAGTTTTAATTAAAGGTGCCTTAGGCTCGTAGTATAGGTAAGGTTGTATCTATAGGCGCAGCGACAATAGTAAGTAATGTTAACAATAGCAGCGCTAGTCGTCTTAGCGCTAACTTTACCTTCTTCAACTAATAACAACTCGGCAACACCGTTACTAATATAGCGGTATCCTTCCTTTTTCAAATAGTAGCATACTCCGCAATACTGTTACTAATATAGCCGCGCCGGCCGCGCCGTCGTTATTATTACCATCGCTATTTACGCGCGCGCCGTCCTCGTAGATCGCCTAGGCCTTAAAGCCTCGATAGAATAAAGGAACAAGAGGGGGACCTATAGAGCGCGTTAGTAGAGAGGTGGTTTCCTAGAAGAGCAGCGAATGGTTAACGCGTTATAGCGCGCTTATTGACACTTAGTACGCGTTCACCCTAGTAGTGTAGTCTTATTATCCTTTGTTACTAACAATTGCTTGCCTCTGATTAGTTAGCTAATAGCACCCCGGGGGTAGCATTGTTCCTAGGCTTAGTAGTAACATTATAGGTATTATAAGCTCTTAGCCTTCTTTGTGTTCTTTACGCTAGTCTAATACTTATTCAACAACTCAGTTATATCTTTAAACGAGTCTTTAGCCTCCTATAAGTCCTATTTAGGTGAATAGCCTTACTATCTTAATAGGTACTCCTTCTTGCCCTGCCTAGTCCGATGCTTTAGGATACGTTCTATAGACTATAGCTCTTCGCTATTAGCTAGTATGTCCTCGGATTCAGTAGGTGCTTCATCGCCTTCGCGCTAGTAGTATAGTTTAAGGAGGGAGATATAGAAGGTGTTATAGATAGTGTAATAAGGTAGAAGCTATAACTAGTAGGCCTAGCTATTGCCCTTCGGTTCTCGGATGCGAAATAGGCTAATGTATCTTAGTGCGAGCTTAGGCCTTGCTTTACTATTAGGCGATAGGTGTTTGCGGATGCGGAGGTTCTTAGTGCTAAGTATAACTATGTCGCCTTATTTGAAGGTTATTAGTGTGTAACGCTTATCGTAGTAGGCCTTTTGGTATTCTTAAGCCTTTATCAACTTCTCAGCTATTTTAGTATAGATTTCTCGCATCTTCTAGACACGTTCTATTGCCGCTAGTGTCTCTAGTACTTAACGCGCTTCCCTTTCCTTACGCTCGGCCTCGAGCGAGGTAAATAGATCTTATAGCAACGCGGCGTTTTGACCTATTATAGCTATATATAGTAAAACCTTAGTTGATGAGTGTATACTATTGTTATATACGAATTCTGCAGGCTATAGGAGATTAACCCAATCCTTAGGATTCTCGTTAATATAACTGCGCAGGTACTGCTACAGGGTAGCATTCTGTCTCTCTATTTGTCCGTTAGTCTGTAGATAGAAGGCTGTTAATAGCCGATGCTTTAGTCTTAGCTGTAGGTATATTTCGCTCTAATAGTGCGATATGAATGTCGAGCCCCTATCGGAGACTATCCCCTTAGGTGTTCCCTAATAGGTATAGAAGATGTTAGTCTATAGCGCCTTTGCTATATTAATAGTAGTCCAATCCTTGCGAGCAGGAATATAGCGAGCACCCTTAGTAAATCGGTCTATAATAACTAGTATAGCGTTAAAGACGTCTTTGCTTCCTCTTCGCTTAGTAGGGGGAAGACCTATAATAAAGTCTATTGTAAGCTCTATAAAAGGCTTCTTTAGAATAGGGAGTAAAGACAACTCGCTAAATAGCAAGTACTTAGGTGCTTTAACTCGTTAATATACGGCACACGTGTTTACGTAGTCCTTTATGTCCTACTTACTATTTAGCTAGTAGTATGTGCGCGATAGTAGCTCGTGCGACCTCTCTATACTATAGTAACCGGCAAGCTTACTATTATAGTGTCGCTTAAGAAGTTCTTATCTAATCGATTGTTCAGCGGGGACATAGTATCTGCCCTTAAACCTTAAGTAACCTTTGTCGTCGATCGACTAATTACTCTTACTAGATCGAGTCTTTCGCCTACTTATAAGCTTGTCTATACGTTTAGCAGCAAAGGCGTCCCTCTACTAAGCCCGTAATAGCTTATCTATAAACGATTGACTATCCCTATTTGCAAGGTTATTTAATAGCACCCTCGCTGTTAAACGAGGTACGCATTGTATGTATCTAATAGTACTAGTAGCCGGATCAACTGCATTAGTGCTTTAATCGCTGTTACTATATATAGCGATATCGACTAGGGAGTTATTATAACTTCTCCTGTCTGTGTCCTTAGCTCTTGCCTTAACACGCACTGTTAATATAGCAAGAGCATTAATATACTTTAAGCCGTCGCGGAGTCCGGTAAGCCGCTTATCCTACGCGTGCTTATTAACAATACGGGCTATAGCAATCTTATACTGTAGGGTTGGAAACAATAAATTGATAGATTGCTAAGTCCCGCTATCGTAATTAGGTCGCCTCGATAGGCTATTAGTAGGGTTGCTTACGCCTAGCCGATATAATATATTAAAATCAAACCTAGCGAGGTAGACGGCCTATCTAGCCTATCGACCTATAACTCTAGTAACCTTAGTAATGCTACGGAGGTTGTTATAGTCTGTATAGACCTGTATCGTATATTAGGCCCTATCGAGGTAATGCCTCTAGTACTTAAAGGCCTCGACAATAGCTAAGAGCTCTTACTCGTAGGTCTTATAGCGACGCTTAGCATCGATTATCTTCCTCGAGAAGAAGGCAATCGGGTGCTAGTAATAGTCATTATCTAATTGCTAGGACATAATAGCCGATACAGCGAACTGTAAAGCGTTAGTCTCAATTCGGATCTGCTTATTTAGCACGAAATGGTATAACAAGGGGACTTTAGTAAAGCGCTACTTCAGACCGTTAAAAGCGGCTTGTACTCTGTTAGTCTATTTGAACTCTCTAGTCGGGTTGGCCTTAGTTTTAGTAAGCTCAGTTAGGGGCATTACGTGTCGTAAATAGCTCTTAATAAAGCGACGATAGAAGTTGGTAAAACCTAGGAATAATTGAAGCTCCTTAATGCTAGTAGGCGTTAGCTACTTAGTAATGGTCTTAATCCGGTTAGGATTAGCCTTAACACCCTTAGTTGATACGAGGAAGCTAAGGAAGGATACCTCCTTAGTAGCAAAGGTGCATTTAGAAGGCTTGCAATACAGTCTATAGGCTCGTAGGCGATCGAGC